CCTAAAGTTATCTAGAAATAAGGGTGGCACTTGAACCAATGCCTTGATAGACCAAGGCACAGGTTCCCAAAGGATGCCTGCCGTCAACGGACAAATGCTTTTTCAATTAGCTGAGGTAAGAGCATTTGTAACTCACCATCGAACTAGCCACCTGTTGACAGAGAGGGCTTCCTAATAATGATTTCAAATGGGGTTTAACGTTTCTCTCAATGAGCATATCAGTAAAAAAATCAACAGAATTACTTGTTTGTGTCTGTTAAAAAGACTAGCTAGGATTGTCACTTTGGAGTTCCGCTGAACCAGTCAATTTTTCTCAAGTTGCCTTGAATTCAATATAAGCAGATCACTTGCTACAACTACGACGTGAGGTCTGACATATGTTTCTAATAGGCAGTGTTCAGGCAAATTTCCATTTCCGTCTTTTCTGTACGCGCTTTTCTCGCTATAGGGCACTGTTTGTGAAAAGCTGGGCGAGCAGTACTGAGAAGGAAGTCCCCGAGTGGGCGGAGTGACCCAAAGAAACAGGCTAACCTACGGAGCAATTTTCTTACTTATCGCGAAGAATCAATTGGACACCTGATCAACTTTGCAAGATCCTGATCTAGAGGATTATGAAGCATTAAAATCAAAGACTTCTTCTAAGATTAAGTCGTTTTGTATGATGAATATATAATGCTTAGAAAAGCCAATCTTTAATGTCTTAGTGATCAATTCAATATCTTACTCATGCTCCTAACATTGTAATGAGTGCCAAAAGGGTATATCGTGAACGATGACAAAATTCTTCGTATTGTGTTTATTTTCGAGAAAACAAAAATAATATGAGTAGTCTGTGGCTACAAGAAATAATAGTGAGTCTCTTATCATAAAATAGACTTCGCTATCCACCTACGTAAGGTTTAGGTACAAGATTCTCCTGAGTCGGTATCAGAGCGCTACCTATGCTCCTTCCCAACCATTAATATCCGCATATCTGCATTTACAACTGCGTTAGAAATAAAAATCCTTTTTTGACAAATGGCTATCTTCGCGCAAATCCACCCTTTCGTATTTTTGCACCGTTTATGGCAAATTTTCAAATAACGGACGGTATGTGATCTGTACACTATGCCTGTCTCTGTAACAGAATTGGAAAACTTCAAATTTCCACAAGTTCTGTATACTCAAGGTTCACAGTTCATAAGAATAACATTTTGGCAATCCGAATTTTGTTCCATTTTGAAAAGACCAAGCTCAGCTCAAGTCTTTATTGCATTGCTGACCCTTTAATATAAAAAAGTAGAATTCTCAGCAGTATAAATGGTCTTTAGCTTCGTTTCCAAGTGATTCATGCACGGGTTCTTGAAGGCGTTGGCAATATTTATGAGAGTTTCAGTTGGTGGATGAGCATCCACTGCTTGCTTTATTCGAATTATAGCTTTGAATACTTCACGTTCCGTCATTCTTGTTCGCAAAAGCATTGTCTCTTGAGCATCATTCGCATATTTCTAAAACATAGAAAAAAATATCAATTGCGCCAAAAATTCAAGCTTTGAAAGAATAAAAGAGGTTTTTGTTAGAAGTGAAAACAACAAACTTGGTTTGATTTAGTTGGTGAAACTTACTCTAAAAATCCTAAGATCTTCATCTATCACTTGATAGAACTCGAACATCTCGTCATAAAAATCGTATATGACGAGATAGGTGACGATAAGCATCAAAGAACAACCGATATACGAGCCGATAATGAAGTGATAATGTAATGCGGATTTCTAAAATAGACATCTATTAAGGAACATTTAGGAAACATTTATAATGCAAAATTTATAGAAACCAACCATCTCGCAAAGGCAGGCAGAGAAATCGGCAGATTCGCTCATTCTTGTATATACGTACTACAT